TTCATGCTTACAAAGTATACAAGTCAATTTTTTTTTAGTATGTTCACAAAGTTGTGCAACCTCACCACCATATAATTTTTTAATTGTTTATTTATTTTTGGCTATACTGGGTCTTCCCTGCTGCACGGGCCCTGCACTGACAGACAGATTCCTATCCACTGTACCACCAAGGAAGTCCTGGCTTCTTTCATTTCATACAGTGTCCTATAGGTTCATCCATGCAATGTAGTATCAATGCTTCATTTCTTCTTATGCTTGAAAAATATTCCATTGATTTATATGCTGCATTTTGTTTCTCCATTTATAACTTCATGGTTATTTGGGTTGTTTCCTCTTCGGGGCTGTTATGAAAAGTGCTGCTATATATATTTGAGTACAGATTTTTGTGGGACGTATTGAGGAATTGCCTACAGTTCCTGACTCAAACTTCCAAAATAATGTTGAATAGAAGTTCTAAGAGCAGAGATCCTCATCTTGTTGAAGGTTTTCAGCCTTTCACCATTAAATACGATGTTAAGTGTCAGGTGTTTGTAAGTGCCCTTTATCAAGCTAAGGAAATGCTTTTCTATTCCTAGTTTGCTAAGTGTTTTATCATAAAAGAGTGTTAAATTTTGTATCAGTTGAGAGGATTGTGCTTTTTCATCCTTTATTCTGTTAATGTAGTGTATGATTGAATTTCTTATGTCAAACCAACCTTACATTCCTGGGATAAATTCCACTTGGTTCAGTTCAGTTAAGTTCAGTCACTCAGTCATGTCCGATTCTTTGCAATCCCATGAATCGCAGCACGCCAGGCCTCCCTGTCCATCACCAACTCCCGGAATTTACTCAAACTCATGTCCATGGAGCCAGTGATGCCATCCAGCCATCTCATCCTCTGTCATCCCCTTCTCCTCCTGCCCCCAGTCCCTCCCAGCATCAGGGTCTTTTCCAATGAGTCAACTCATTGCATGAGGTGGCCAAAGTATTGGAGTTTCAGCTTCAGCATCAGTCCTTCCAATGAACACCGAGGACTGATCTCCTTTAGGATGGACTGGTTGGATCTCCTTGCAGTCCAAGGGACTCTCAAGAGTCTTCTCCAACACCACAGTTCAAAAGCATCAATTCTTGGGCACTCAGCTTTCTTCACAGTCCAACTCTCACAACCATTCATGACCACTGGAAAAACCATAGCCTTGGGTATAATTCTTTTTATGTATTGCAGGATTCAGTTTGCCAGAATTTTAAGAATTTTTGCATCTATATTCCTAAGGGATATTGGTCTGTAGTTTTGTCTTCTCGATGTCTGGCTTTGGTATCAGGGTACTACTGGCTTCATAGAGCAAATTGGGAAGTGTTCTCTTCTTCTTTATCTTTTGGAAGACTTTGCAAAGGACTCTTCTTTAAACATTTGGTGGAAATACCCATGAACCATCTGGTCCTGGCTTTACCTTAAGGGAAGTTTTCTGATTACTATTTCAGTTTCTTGTTATGTGTCTATTCAGGTTTTCTGTTTCTTTTTTAGTCAGTTTGTTTCTGTCTTTGTGGAATGTTTTTACTGTTTCACCGAGGTTACCTAATTTTTTGGCACATAGTTGTTCATAGTTTTCCTTAATAATCCTTTTTATTTCTGTAAGATTAATAGTGGAATCCCTCTTTAGTTCCTGATTTAAGTAATTTGAGTCTTCTCTTTTTTTCTTGGTCACTCTATCTAAAGATTTGTCAATTTTGTTATCTTTTTAAGAACCAATTTTTCATTTAATTGATTCTGGGATTTTTTTTTTTTTTCCTATTTCACATACTTCTGCTTCAATCTTGATTTTTTCCTTTCTTCTTTTTTTGGACTTCATTGGCTTTTTTTTTTGTTTGTTTCTTAAAGTGTGAAGTTAGGTCATTGATTTAAATCCTTTCCTCCTTTTTAATATAGGAATTTATAGCTATAAATCTTTCTCTAAGCACTGATTTCACTTCATTCCATATGTTTTGGTGTGTTCTCTTTTCATTTTCATTCATCTCAAAGTATTTTCTAATTTTCCTTATTATTTCTTCTTTGAACCATTGGTTGTTTGGGAGTATGTTATTTAATATCTACGTATCTGTAAATGTTCCAGTTTTCCTTCTGTTATTAATTTCTAATTTCTTTCCAATGTGGAAAAGTTGTAGAATAAACCTTACATGATTTAAATACTTAAATGGCAACCCACTCCAGTATTCTTGCCTGGAGAATTCCATGGATAGAGGAGCCTGGCAGGCTACAGTCCATGGGGTCGCAAGAGTCGGACACAACTTAGTGGCTAAATCAAATCAAAAGTATTGTTGCTTGTTTTATGACCTAACATATGATCTATCCTATAGAATGTTCCATGTGAACTTGAGAAGGTGTCTTCTTCCTGAATGTATATATTAATGTTTTTCATCAGATATGCAAAATTTTTGAGCATGAGTTCAAGTATTCTTCCTGCCCCCTTTTATCTCTCCTGTTTTTTTTTATATTCTCATTATGCATACATTGGCATATTTGATGGTGTGTCACAGGTCTCTGAGACACAGTTCATTTTTCTTTACTCTCTTTTTGTTCCTGAGACTAGATCTCAGTTCACCTATCTCTGAGGTCATTGATATTTTTCTTCTTCCTGCACAGATTTGCTGTTGAGCCCCTCTAGTGAAATTTTCACTTAAGTTATTGTACCTCTCAACCCCTCTCAACTTTCTGTTGGTTCTTTTTATAGTTTTTACTTCTCTAATGATATTCTCTGATGAGAAATCATTCCTATACTTCTCATTTATTTTTGAGACATATTTAAAACTTCTTTGTGCACATTTTAAATCAGCTATTTTAAAATACAGCTGATTTGAAGCCTTTGTCTAGTAAATCCAATGTCTAGAATTCCTCAGGGATAGTTTCTATTAGCTGCTGTTTTCATGTGTATGGGCTGTGTTATCTTGTTTCTTTGCATGTCTCATAATTTGTTGTTGATGAAATGGGCATTTAAAATAATATAACGTGAAGTAATAATAAGAAATCAGATTCTTTCCCATTCCTATGGCTGTTTGTTGTTGCTTTACTATTGTTGTTGTTGTTTGGTGATTTTTCTAATTTTCTAATTTTTCTAATTCTGTAAAATCTATACTGTTGTGTGACCCCTGAAATATCTGCTAATGATTACACAGAGATTTCTTTAGATGCCTGGCTCAAAACAAGTCTCCTTCTCTTTGCTGGGTTCTGTGTGTGTTTGGGGGCACGCCTTTAACACTCAGGCAGTTTACAACTCCACCTTAGCCTTTACTTCTTGTTTTCTCGGAGTCTCAGTGTTAGGCAGAAGTGAAAGCTTAAGGTCTTCTCAAGTCTTTCCTGCATGCTTAGTTGCCCAGTCCTGTCTAACTCTTTACGACCACATGGACTGGGGCCTACCAGACTCCTCTGACCATGGGATTATCCTGGCAAGAATACTGGAGTGGATTTCCTCCTCCAAAGGTTCTTCCCGACCCAGGATCAAATCCACATCTCCTGTGGCTCCTACATTGGCAGGCAGAATCTTTATCACTGAGCCACCCAGGAAGCCAAGTCTTTCCTAAGAATGCAAATAACCCTGGGAACAACCCTATGCCTCTCATGAAATTTCATATTCCTAGAACTACCTGGGAGCTTTTCCAAGTCCTCTAGGGATATCTCATTCCCAGCTTTTCCTTTTAAGCTTTTTCATTAACCTATTGTTTGTCCAGCTGTTTTCCACCACTGCAGGCAGCACAGTTTTCAACAATTGTCTCTGATAGTTTTCAACAAATGCCTTCAAGGAAAAGGCTATTCATACTGGGTGAGCTCTGATTCAGGTAAAATAAAGACACCTTAAAAGTAGGGTCTTCCAGGAAACCAGCAGACAGGTCAGAAAATGCCAGTCCTCTGGGAACAGACTTGGAAGGAGCTCTAATCCTGTCCTTCCCCCTCTGGTGGATGCCAGGCTACTGGTTTTTCAAGACTGCTCCAAAGCTGATGAAAGAAAATGAAAACAAGGCAAGTTAAAATTCTATAAAGTTCACTATTGTTACTTTTACCCAGATAGCTACAAGGCTTTGGTTAATTTCCAGAGTTCTAAACAAGTTGACTCAGACCATTTTTGCTAATGTTTTCATTGCTTTTATGGAGGAGAGAATTTTCAGAGGTCCTTCCTCCACCAAATCATTGGCATTACCCACAAGCCTGTTTTGAGGGTGTGTGTGCTCAAAATACCCAGTGGCTTATTAAGGATAAGCCACTAATTAAGGATAATTACACTTTGCTTGTACTCAGTGGACACTTTTCCTCAGTTAAATTGTTTGTGGGTTCCCTTGGTAGGGGTCAGTGAGGTCATACCTGTCAGCAGAACACCACATTTTAGTCTTGCATCTGCCACTGGTTGAGTATATGACCTTGGAGCAAATGAGCTGAGATTTCTAGAGCACCTTCTTTGCCAAGTTCTTTGTGCTGGGTGTTTTACATACATTGCATCATGTCATTTTTGCAACAATCAAGAAGGGGGTAATGTTCCCTTTTAGCAGAGGAAACTACTAAAATGCAAAATGCTTAGCATTATGCCTGCTTCACATAGCAAATATTCCCTGCATCAACTATTGTGTTGTCACTTACATCTGTTATTGTCAGAAGAGGAAGTGGAGTTGAGGGGATTGCTCAAGGTCATTTGAATTCCAACTGCAAGTTTGACTCCAAAGCCTGTTCATAGTTAACATCCCATTCCAGCTGTCCTGTACAAATTTGTTCCAGCTCTGGGTCTCATTTTCCTCATCCTGTCAAATGAAGGATTTGGACTGACAGTGGTTTTTCAGTCAACAAACAGTCAACTGTTTTACTGAGATCACTTCCAGGTCGACAATACGGAGCTCTGTCATTCTGCGAAGTCCGTTGCTGGGAGGCCTATTCATAGCATTTTTTGTTTGGCGTGAAAAAGTAAACCTACAGGTAGGCTGGAGGTGTGTAACCTAGTGTGTATTTCTCCCCCTTCTGTCTCCACCCCATCCCTCTGCAGAGGCAAGAGGGGACAAAGTCAAGTGGGTGTTCACCTGGCCGCTCATCTTCCTCCTGTGCGTCACCATCCCCAACTGCAGCAAGCCCCGCTGGGAGAAGTTCTTCATGCTCACCTTCGTCATCGCCACGCTGTGGATCGCTGTCTTCTCCTACCTGATGGTGTGGCTGGTGAGTGGCGGGAGAGGGGGTGGACTGTACGCACAGCCCCTGCCCGGCATCTGCCAGGGGTGGGAGGGCTAGGATCAAGAGAGACCACAGGCCCTGCTGGATCACCTTCAGCAACCCACCTACCTCAACAGACCTTGGCTTATTTCTCAGTAGGAAGGGGTTTCAGCAGTCTTAAGAAGCTGTGCTGTGTATCACGGACACCCAGAGAAGTACAGCATGGTCCATGGTGTCCATGGGAGGGAGGGTTACCTTCACATGGACAGCCTGGGACATGTCACCCTGGAGTGATGGGAAGAGGAATGTGGCAGGGATGGCAGACCCTCTCTAGAAAGAGCTCTGGAGGGTTAATCACTAGGCCCCCTTCCTTTTCAGCATCTGTAGAGGAATGTGATGGAGACTGGAGTTGGAGGGAGACAAACATGGTCCCTTTCCATGGCTCCTGCCCAGGGATGTTCTGCTCCGCTTCCTATGTCCAGGCACAGATATAAACTTTAGGTAAACTGTTCTACTCCTCACAATAACCCAATGGGGTAAGCAGTTTTACTGTGCCCATTTTACAGATGAGGAACCTGAGGCCTAGAGGTTGAGTCATTTGTCCAGTTAGTTATACAGTTAGCAACTATTGCACAACTAGTTACACAGCTAGTGAATTCTAGAGTTGGGATTAGAACCTGGGTGTTGATCTCCAGAGTCTAAGATCTCAGCCACTCATCTGAATGGCCTCTCAGTTTGCTCTTAGACTCTTCAGGCAGAGAGGCTTTGGCATAGCCCCTCTGGCCCCACATGACTGCTCCCTGGGCAAACCTTTCACTGGCGGGGTGGGGCCAAACAGGAGCCCCCTTTTTCTCTGTATGTCATCTTGTGGGGTTCCCCCTCTTCCTTTCACCCACCTGGGGAGCGTGTGAACAGCAAGAAAAGCGGGTACAGAACCTCTGCATTTCTACTGTGAAGTTCACCTGCAAGCCACTCACACCTCAGTAGTATCCATGCAGCCATTTCACTCTCCTCCTAACACCTGATGCCGCCTAACACACAGGGCAGAGGTGTGTGTTGGCCTCAGAGGCACAAGAGCAACATTCTCTTAACCCAAGAGGAACAGTTTGGTGGGAGAAGAGCAGCTGTGAGGTCCCATGGAACTGGCTGTGAATCCTGGTTCTCCCCACTGGAGCCATGAAACTTGGACAGGTGACTCAGCTTCCATGAGCCACAGTTGTCCCCTCTGCGAAATGGACATGATCACCACTGTCTGCAGGTTATTGGGAGATGAAAGGGTTCTGTTCAGGCATCAGGTGTGAGCTAGCAACATAGCAAATTGATCATAACTATAAATATCAGCCGTGTTCACCATGAGATGCAGCTGACACTGCTTCCAAGCTTATTCAGATAGAGGTTTAAATCCCCATAGATGCCAAGTTGTGTGTTTTTACGTAGAAAAGAAGTTGGAAATAGCTACTAACAGACCCCCGCCCCTGCCAGAAAAGGATGACAGTCAAAGATATTGTTGTTGTTCAGTCACTGCGTTGTGTCCAACTCTTTGTGACCCCATGGATTTTAGCACTCCAGACTTCCCTGTCCTTCACTGTCTCCCTGAGTTTGCTCAAATTCATATCCATTGTGTTGGTGGTGCTATCTAGCCATCTCATCCTCTGCCACCCTCCTCTCCTTTTGCCTCAGTCTTTTCCAGCATCAGGGTCTTTTCCAGTGAGTCAGCTCTTGGCATTAAGTGGCCAAAGTATTGGATCTTCAGCATCAGCTCTTCCAATGAATATTCAGGGTTGATGTCCTTTAGGACTGATTGGTTTGATCTCCCTCCAGTCCAAGAGACTCGCAAGAGTCTTCTCCAACACCACAATTGGAAAGCATCAATTCTTTAGCACTCAGCCTGCTTTAGGGTCCAACTCTCACATCTGTACATGACCACTGAGTAGGGTTAAAGGCCAGCCCGTGCTTACATTTTATAAAAGGATCCACCAGTTTCTTTTACTAAAGTGCATTCCACAAGCAATTTTGCAAGTGAAAAAAGTTTTTCATGACATTTGAGTGGGTGTGTTAGGGGAGATCAAATTAATGAATATGTGAAATTTTTTCTTTTTAATTAATGAAAACAACAGTATTATGAAATCAGTTCTACTAATTAGCTGTGAGGTAGGACATTGAATAACATTCCCATCCCCCTCACCTTGTCTTATAAACCCCATTCCTGCTTCTTAAAAGAGAGTCTTGGCAGTGGCTTGGCCAGAGTCATAGGAACCTCCTTGCTGTGGCACTCTTATCTGTGATTTGGAACTTCAGCTGGCCTCAGTTTCGGGTAATTGAGTGGTTTCCACAGTAGAAAGTGGTAAAGACAACAGTGCCAAGTTAGCCTGATTTCTGTGAAAGCAAGATGTGCCAGGGGTCAGGCGCTTACTTTCCTCATATCCTCATGGGGGCGCCAGAGAGCACTGACTTCTCACCTACCCACCTTTTATCCCCACCATCCTTCAAGTCTCTCAACCCTGGCTTTGGGGAAAACGATTCTTGACTGTCAGCATCCAAAGGGAGGGAATCTCAAAAATGAGTCATCCGATCCAGGACCTTTGCCCAACTGGCGAGACTGAGGACCAAAGAGAAGGTTTGACTTCAACAAAGTCAGGCAGATCAGCCCAGCTCTGGACTTGGCTCTGCTTCCCTTTCTGAAACCCCAACATCAGGAGTTCAGAGGGCCCCAGGCTGGAGTCCAAAGCAAAGCCATACGCAGGTAGCATCTCTGGTCCTGAATGCTTGGAGTGTGTTCAAGTGGTAGTCGCTCAGCCGTGTCCAACTCTTTGTGACCCCATGGACTGTAGCCTGCCAGGCTCCTCTGTCCATGGAATTCTCCAAGCAAGAATACTGGAGTGGGTTGCCATTGTGTGTACACACACAGAACCTTCCTTCTGTCCTTCCACTCTCCAGCTTCTTAGCCAGGTAGTCCAGTTATATAAGGAAAGGAAAGCAAAGGAAGCATCCTCATTATTGCCAGAATAACCCAGGCTCCTATACGTATGACATCTGGTATCACCCATTAAGAACATGTCAGCCACAGCCAGGCTGTGCTTGTGGAGACCTCCCTCGTGGTCAGTGTGGGTTAAGCGCCGATGCATCAGCTGTGTGGCTTTGGTGTCCTCACTCTTTCTCCTTGCACAGGCCAGAGCAGGTCAGTCAGGGCACGCACTGCCCAGTTCCTGGCGATGCTGAACTGAACACTGTCTTTTAGGGTCGAGCATCTCCAAACCCATCTGCAAGCTTTGTCCTAGGAGGGATATCGTTTTAGACCACAAGCTCTGGCTTCATTCCAGGGCTGAGCTCTGCCCTTAGAAAGCATACTTCATCTGGGCTAATCACTCACATTTTCTGTGCCCCCATAGATTGCAAGATGAGTGATTGGAAGTGAAGGGAAACATACATCTGTGAATGTCTTACACAGCCCGTGCACTGTCCCCTCATCTTTTCTCTTAATCCTCATTTAAAAGCCCATTTCACAGATGAGGGAACTGAGGCTCAAAGAAGTAAACTAGCTTACCCAAACATTTGCTGGGACTGGAGCCATCAGCTGAGATGTGAACAGCCCTGAAAGATCCTGCTGTTCACATTTTCTAGATGGGGAGGTGAGCCATCTAAGGGATGTTTTGAGTGAGGTTGTCCAAGTGCTTCTAGGGCTTTCCATTCAGCTGCTGCTCACCATTTCCCAAGTGTCAGGCATTTATTAGAGGAATTATGTGACCATGTTTCAAGATCCTTAAAAGCCTGTGTATCCTTCAATCCAGTGATTCTATTTCTTGGAACTTTTCCTAAGGATATAATAGTAAGATGAGAACCCAGAGATGTTCACACAAGACAACATGATGCTCAAGAGCAAGGATATATATATATATACACACACTTATGTATGTATGTATGTATGTATGTATATATATAATATATATAAAACACACACATTCATACACTCACAGCTGATCTGCATTGTTGAGTGACAAAAACCAATGCAACTTTGTAGAGCAGTTACCATCCAATTAAAAAAGCCTGATGACAAGGTTGGAGTGCAGACTTTAGAGTCAGAAAGATTTGGCCTGGAATCCCTGCTCTGCTGCTCACAGACTTGATGCCCACCTGCATTGTAACTTCTTCCCCTCTGACCCTTGTTTCCTTGGGCATAATAAAAGTGCCTCCCTCACCAGTGGGTGGTGCGTAGAGCAGATGAGATTGTGGAAGTGAAACACTTGGAAAGAACCTGGTACATAGTAGGTGCTCAGTAAATGATGTTACATGTTACAATACAGTGGTATTTTAAGAATGAGAACAAGCCATTTCCTATCCACCAGTGATGGATGGACAGGAACTTTACAGCTATGCAGTGGAATCCATGCACCAGTGTAAAATAAGATTGTAGATGAATATTTGTGATGGCAAGATACTCACAATGTATCATTGCATGAAACATATAGTCACAAAATATGCACTGATAGTATAATCTGATTTCATATTTTTCTAATACATACACCAAAAAGAAGGTCAAGGATATATTCTAAAGCCCAGGGATCAAACCCAGGTCTCCCACATTGTAGGCAGATTCTTTACCAGCTGAGCCACAAGGGAAGCCCAAGAATACTGGAGTGGATAGCCTATCCCTTCTCCAGTGGCTCTTCCCGACCCAGGAATTGAACCAGGGTCTCCTACATTGCAGGAGGATCCTTTACTAACTGAGCTGTCAGGGAAGCCCATATTCTAAAGCAGGGGTTTTCAAATGTGGTTCCCAGGTCAGCAGCCTCAGGGTCTCAACCAACTAGGAACTTGTTAGGAAAGCAGATTCCTGGACTTTACCCCAAATCTCCTGAATCAGAAACGGGGTGGGGCCTGGCGGGTCTTATTTTAACAGCTCTCTACAGGATTTCCTACATTTTCAAGTCTAAGATTCACTGGCTCATAAAAAGTGTTAATAGTGGTTGTCTGAGGGTCTTGAGAAATGGTAGGTGATTTTTACTAATACTTTCATTTAACTTTTTTTCTTAACTTTTTAAAACAGTAAACCCAGATTACTCATGTAATCTGGAAAAAAGAATACTCAAAGGACAGTTTTTAAAAAATGAAACCATATTCCAGATTTTTCTGTTGGATACAGGAGTACTATGTTTAAGTTAAAAACACTGCGTTGTAAGCAGGGTTTTCACGGGTGCTCCTCTGTGAGTTGATGTTTCCCCCGTCTTCTGCAGGTGACTATTATTGGATACACCCTTGGGATCCCCGATGTCATCATGGGCATTACTTTCCTTGCAGCAGGCACGAGCGTTCCCGACTGCATGGCCAGCTTGATTGTGGCGAGACAAGGTATGAATAGTGTCTCGGGCCCCCAGCCATCAGCATCACCAAGTGGGCCCTTCCCCCTACCTGAGTTACAGTTCATAGCTCTCAGCACTGATAGTCATTAAGTCCTGCTGTGGAGGAAACAGTGATGACTGGAAAGCATCATGTAGATTCCATCCATGGAGAGAATTACTACCAAGATCACCTCCTCTAGACCTCTAGAAGCATCTGTGTGGAGGTGAATAAAAATGGACTTGTTCTGGGAGCTCCCTGGTGCACGAGTGGTTTAAATTCCAGGTTTTCACTGCCAGAACTGAGATCCCACTAGCTATGTTGCCAAAAAAAATGAACTTGTTCTGACATCACCAGTGTGAGATTGAACAGAGTGGGAGCCCAGAATTTTTAGAGCAAATGCACTAATGTTCTGATCCCAGGCAGGCCAAGTGGGGATATCCGATGTCTCCAGCTATTTTCTGATTCCTCTTCCAAATTCTAGAACTTATATAATGTTATGGTTTGCTCGGTGGATTTTCTTTGGAGCTAAGTGCCTTGGGGGTGAGCAGGCTAAGGAACACCGGTATACTCCTCGATGGCAGAACAGAAGGGCTGTGAAGAGCCAGCCTTCCTCTGCTGCTCCTTTGCTGCCAGTGAGATAGCATCCACGCCCGGACTTCGCTGACCTTCCTCCGTAGACAGTAGTGTGAAAGGATGGGAGGCAGGAAGGGCAGATAGTGGAGTGAAATCTCAGAGGAGACAGGAGAGGAGAGAAGTGTCCAAACATAAAGTGGGTTCAGAAAGGAGGAAAATGTTTCATTTCTTCAAGATGAAAGAAAGTTTGGTGAGTCGGCTGATCGGTCCTGAGAGAAGATGAAATGAGGGGAAGGGAAGGGTGGGAGTATATTTGGCAGGAGGCTGGAGCCTCGAGGAGAATGGCGACAGCTGGGGACGGCAGCTGAGGGGGATGGAATTGAACTGAGTGACCTTCAAGGTGAGTGTATTCATCTCCCAGGGCTGTCAAAACCAAAGTACCCCAACTGGGTGACTTAAAACAACAGAAATGGATTCTCTGGTCCTGGAGGCTGTAAGTCCAAGGTCAAGTGTTGGCAGGACTGTACTTACCTGGAGGCTCTGGGAAGGAATCCTTCCTTGTTCTCTGCCAGCTTCAGGGCGGGTGCCAAGAATCCTTGGCTGTGGCTGCCTCCCTCCAGTATCTGCCTGTGTCTTCACATGGTGTTCTTCCCTCTGTGTGTGTCTGTGTCCAGAGACACACCAGTCATTGAATTAGGGCCCACCTTAATTCAGGATGATCTCGTTTTAATTGGATCACATCTGCAAAGATTCTATTGGCCAGTTAGGTCACGTTCACAGGTTTTGGGTGGACATGAGCGCGGGCCGCTATTGAACGCGGTCCAGGGAGGAAACGGAACAATAAGCCCCGAGGGCCTGGCTGACGTTCGGGGTTGTGAATTTGGGTGGGGTTCCAGCATGAATTTGGAGTTGTACCAGCTCCCACGACACACAGATGAATTCATCCAGAGCTGGGGGTGGCTGGGTGGACACAGTGGAAGGTCAAGGGGCCAAGAGAATGTGCCATTTAAACAACTGGCCTTGGAGTCCAGGCTAGTGGGTCAGGGAAGGGGTCATGATACGAGAAGATTAAGAAGGGGAGGGGAGCGTCCCAGCGTGGTCCAAAGGGGCTCTGTAGGAACAAGAACAGGTGGGGATATCATCTCAGAGTGGCTCCTGTGAAGTGTAGAAAGACACGAAGGAAGGCTGAAGTGGGGGTGAGAGTGTATAGCTGTCCTAAGGGTGATGCTGATGTGAGTGACAGAGGATCCAGCAGACAATATTAAACATAGATTCTTTATGGCGGAGGATGCAGAAACCTCTGCCCAGAGCCCCCTGCATGAGGCAGGAGCTGTGCAGTAAGCTCTAACATGCAGAGACTGCATCCTGGGCTCCCTAAATCTCGCAGCCCACAGTGTGGTCCAGGCTGGCAGCATCAGCTTGAGAGAAATGCAGAGTCTCAAGCCCCATCCCAGCCCCACTGAACCAAAGTCTGCTTTTCAGCAAGACCCCAGCGAGTTGTTTGCTCTTTTTTGTTAATTAAAAAACATTTTATTGGCATATAATCGCTTTACAGTGTTGTGCTAGTTCATTCAACAAAATGAATCAACTGCATGTATACGTATGTTCCCTCCCTCTTGGACCCCCCTCCCACCCCATCCCACCCAGCCAGGACATCAGAGATCACCGAGCTGAGCTCCCTGTGCTTTATAGCAGGTTCCCACCAGCTGTCTACTTTACATAAGGTAGCGGATACACGGGCTTCCCAGGTGGCTCAGTGGTAAAGAATCCACCTGCCAATGCAGAAGACACAAGAGACATGGGTTTGATCCCTGGGTTGGGACGATCCCCAGAGAAGGAAATGGCAACTCACTCCAGTATTCTTGCCTGGGAAATCCCATGGACAGAGGAGTCTGATGGGCTACAGTCCCCGAGGTCACAGAGTCGGACACAACTGAGCGACTGAGCAAACACACAGTATACATGTGTCAGTCCTAATCCTAAATGCACATCTCTCCAAAGAAGACACACAGATAGCCAAAGAGGCACATGAAAAGATGCTCAACATCACTAATTATTAGAGAAATGCAAATCAAAACTGCAGTGAGGTATGACCTCACACTGGTCAGAATGGCCATCTTCAAAAAATCAAGCAATACATGCCAGAGAGGGTGTGGAGAAAAGGGAACCTCTCTTGGACTGTGGTTGGTGGGAATGGAAATTTGAGTCATGTGCTCTCAAAGTCTGAGAATTGCTGTTCTAAGGTTCCTTAGGGGGCTTCACCCACCCAGAGCCCGGCAGTCCAACCTGAGAACACACTCGCTCTTCTTTCCCAGACCCGGGCGGGCATTTGGTTCCTCCTGACCCATCTGGCTAGTGCCTGCCTCCCCACCAGGGATGACTAGCTGGCCCAAAACAGGAGCTGCACGTTCCTGTTTCACAAGGTCCTGGGAGACTGAAAGGCAGGTTTCCCAGAGATACGGCCCCCAGTAGGACTAAGCTGCCAGGATTTCGAAGGCACTCAGATAGGTGCCCAGGCCCGGGAGGGATCTGTGAGCCCTCAGGGAGACACTGTGCCCTGGAGGTCAGTGGATGACAGCAACAGGGCGGGAGGAGGTAGCCTGGCTAACACCCGGGGGCAGGTGGTCGAACAGAGGTGAGGCAATCGTCTGGTTGCTGGTCTGAGTCTCTGCCAGCTGCTCAGTAACCAAGATGGCTTATGGTTATAGGCACATGCATTTCAGGCTGCTTCTTTCCACGATATTTGTGGCCAGATTATGACAGTCTGTTGAATTTGAGCTAGGGGACCAGGGTAGAAGAGAGTTCAGCCAGCATTAAAACTTTGTTTTCTAACTTTTGAAGCCTCTCAAGTTATTAAGTTCCTAAGACTGTTTGACTGGTAGGAGACTGGACAGTGGGGCAGGAGGGGGAAGGTAATGACATAGCCCCTCGCCTCTAAGATGCTTCTAGTCTGTTTGGGAGCAAAGAGTCCACTCTTGGTTAGACCAACCAGGCCTAAGACCAGCTGCTCTGTCATCTGGGTCAAGTTCATGGTGCCATCGCCAGGGTCATAAGTATGCATCGAGGACAAGGCTCCCTCCCTCCCAGAGAAGGCGGGCATCTCAAATAAGGAGAAGCATGTAGTGGGTCATCCCAGAACACAGGCTGACACCCTGTGTCAAGAGAAGTAATGAAGGGCTCTGGGTGAGTTTCCTAGGGCAGCCATAATTACCACACACTGGGAGACAGGAAGACAGAAACTGACGGTCCCACAGTCCTGGAGGCTAGAGGTCAAGGTGTTGGAAAGTTTGGTTCTTTCTGTCTGCTCCAGGCCTCTCTCCTTGACTCGTAGGTGGTGGTCTTCATGTTCGGATGCAGTTCTCCCTGTGTGCAGGCCTGTGCACAAACTTCCCCTTTTAATGAAAACACCAATCATTACTGAATTAGGATTCATCCTCATGTTAACCTGACTACCCCTGTCCCATTCTTTGTGACCCCATGGACAGTAGCCCTCCAGGCTCCTCTGTCCGTGGAATTCTCTAGGCAAGAATGCTAGAGTGGGTAGCCATTCCTTTTCCAAGGGATTTTCCCAACCCAGGAATCGAAACCGGGTCTCCTGCATTACAGGCAGATTCTTTACCATCTGAGCCACCAGGCAAGCCCTGTAGAGACCCTATCTCTGAATAAAATCACATTCTGAGGTATTGGGGGTTAGGAATAACCTGTCGGTTGTCCCCCGCAGGCCTTGGTGACATGGCGGTCTCTAACACCATAGGAAGCAACGTGTTCGACATCCTCGTGGGACTCGGCATACCGTGGGGGCTGCAGACCATGGTTGTTAATTATGGGTCCACGGTAAGTTCGTCTCACTTCCTTAGTGAGATGACCCCGGACGCTTGTGCTTTACCAGGAGCGAGTGTGGTGTTGGCCCTGAAGCTAAGAGCTGCAGGGAAGGCACTGCCCCCATCTCCTCTGCAGGCTGGCAGCCACTTTGTGCAGAGGCATCCAGAGTAGCCTGGGGGTGCCTGCAAGAGGCAGCTCATGTTTGCCTGGAACTCACAGGTGCTTCAGCTGGGACACCCACCTGTGGCTTCCAGAGGAGGGAAAGGATAAGCCAAGCTCAGCGGGCTCCCGGAACAGATGGGCCCCTGAGCAGCCCAGAGGTTCAGGGCATGTGTCTTTGTTTTTCCAGGTGAAGATCAACAGTCGGGGTCTGGTCTACTCTGTGGCATTGCTGCTGGGCTCCGTCGCTCTCACCGTGAGTTTTTACAATTCCAGAATGGCAGCTTGACACACGCGTGGTTTCCTCCGATTCTGCACAGTCTCTGAATTCTTCCCCTTTGGCCGTGAGGGATTAAGCTGAAAAAACATAAATTCACAGATACCCCCAGACACAATTTATGCCAAGAATATTGGCATCCACCACTACACTTTTCCCTGAGCTGGTGAGAAGTCCCCAGAGGGAGGGACTTAGATTTCCTCTCTTCTTGCTGCCCCGTCTGTCTCCCCTCAATGATGCAAGTAGGAGACACGTTCCCCCTACCCCCAGCCCATCTGAGCTGCCGTAGGGGCATGATGGTCAGGTCTCCGGGCTGGTACATGGTGACACGGAGGTCTCCTTACTTCACAGGCCCCGAACTGTGGAAAACAATGCCTCAGCTTACTTTAGTCCATCCTTACAAGCACCTGATGGTTTTCTACTTTGCAGAAGAAATCAAGGCTCGGGAATTAAGTAACTTGTCCCAGGTCACAGGGGTAGGAAATGGCTGTTTCCCATAATTGTTCTTTCCCCTAACTGTCCCATTAGTGCTATTGCTTAGAAAGGAATCCCTTCTTCGTGGACCCCACATTTCTAAAGCCTTTTAATGGGGACTAAGATCCACTCCCTTTGTGAAGTCTACAGGGATAGGAAAAGCTGGGATTTGAACCCCTATTGGTCTAAGGACCCACAGCATTGGAGGTAACTATGATTCAACTCTTGGGGAGCCTTGATTCATGACTAAGAAAGAAAGTAGTTTCAGGACGGAGGGGACATGTGTACACCCATGGCTGATTCATGTCGGTGTGTGGCAAAAACCACTACAGTATCGTAAAGTAATTAGCCTCCAGTTAAAATAAATTAATTAATTTTTTAAAAGAAAGGCGGTAGTAAAAGGAGGTAGGCAAGTATGAAACAAATTTAGAAAGAGAAAGCATTCCAACCCTGTCTCCCAAACACACACACACAGTCCAAACTGAAGGTGTCTAGACAGTGGGCCAATGGGAGCCTTGAAGGTTTTGCTAAAGAGGGTTGAGGATGCCAAGTTCTAAAGCAAAGGAAGGAGCCAGTGGCAGACCCCAGTTGTCACTAAAGAAGGCTTGGAAGGCCTATGCATCCCCAGAAAGGGGTGTGCCTGCCCAGGGAGGGCCAGTGACCTGAGGACAGCTGCTGTGCGTACCTGGAGTCAGCATCCTCTCATCAGATAAGTCTAAAGCCTACAAGGCTATTCTGATCAAACCAATGATACATCCGGCAGCACCCCTCTGTTCTTGTCCACATTTTGGAGGAAGTGCTGGGGTTCATCGTTAGTGTGTACTTTTCCAGTAAAGGCGCCTTTTGTATTTCTCTGCTCCCCGAGCCCAACACTCGCCCTGTCCCCTTCCAGGTCCTCGGCATCCATTTGAACAAGTGGAAGCTGGACCGAAAGCTGGGGGTGTACGTGCTGGTCCTCTACGCCGTCTTCTTGTGCTTCTCCATAATGATAGAGTTCAACGTCTTTACCTTTGTCAACCTGCCAATGTGCCGAGAAGACGATTAAAACAGAGCCACTGTCCCTCGCCTGGGAGCTGTTCTGGACACTCCGGCGCTGGCGTCCTTTTTCCCTGCCCCTCCCCACCGCGGATCTCTCCTGCATCGGCCGCCACTGTCCGTTCTTTCATCCATGGGAAGAAAGCGCCATCGTGGTCTCTGTCTGGTCACGGGCCAGGCTGCCAGGCGTCATCCTCCTCCTTGGAGTTCTGCCCCCACAAAAAGGCAAGATTCAGGGGCCACTGTTGGAGCAGCTTCGCAGACCTCAGAGCCGCCGGCCGTAGGTACATGGCATGTATCTCCTCTCGGACGCTTGGATCAGGAGGACTTCTGTATGTGGGTTGTCTTTCTGTTGCACGACAGCCTCAGAAATGAGGTGGTCGGTGAACACAAGGTCTCCTGGGGCAAGTGCAAAATAGGAGCGTTGTTCTCAAGGGGCCCCTCTGGACCAGAGGGTGTGGGTTCCTTGAGCAGCATGTGCTCCTTAGAGCTTCTTAATCCTGCTGGAAGCACTCAAGGTTTGGAGAGAGTGAGGCTCAACCTGTTGGGAGTTTGGGGCCATGACAACAAACACTCCACCCCTTTTCCTGGACAAATTTGGAAGAATAGAAACAGTTGTTCACAGCGGAAGAGAGAAAACAAGTGCTTACTCTTCTCACTTTCATTGATGCATTCAGAGAATGAGCAATGACACAGTCAAAATAAAATGTCAGCTCTAGATCATCATACTTGAAAAATACCATCGCATACAAAGGACCTTGATGGGGACCAAAAAGGTAATACTTATGGGAAACAAATCCTACGTGTATCATGTTGCGTTGACACTAAGATGTTTGGTTTGGAACATAGAGAGAGTAGAAGACTAACATCTAAATGGGTGCTAACTCAGAGACACAGTGGAGATAGTACTTTACAGCCAGCCGTTCATTCCAGACCTCCTGTGGCATGGGATGCGCTGTCAGTTTCGGTTTTGTCATTTCTTTGTTAATGCCCTGCCCTCAACATCACCCTGTTCAAAGACCCAATTGTTTATATACCCAACAAATTTCATAGCCTGATGAACTGGAATGCGTGTGCCAGAAGTAATGGCCAATGACTAGAAGAGAGATTTCCTGCGAAACCACCAATTGCTCTCTGGTGAGCTGGAGGCAAGTATGGAAACGGTAACTTGGAAATTTTTAGAGCTAAGGTTCTTGAATCTCATCGTTTGCTATGCATGAAAGGCCAAAGACGGGAGGTTAATTCAAAAATAGATAGAAACATATTAAACAATTCTGACTGCTTCGTAGCTCTCAAATATATATTAAAAAGATTTACAAACACAAACCATTTGTGGTTTCTGAAAAGAAAGCACAATTCATTTTATAGAGAGGTGTTCTTTTTTATTTTTTTAATGTTTCTATTGCAAAGAGTCTATCAGATTTGATGCACTTTTAATACTGGGCTATTTTGCACAGACGACTGTATGGGGAATGCCCCAATGATGGTACAAGGAAAGGAGGGTTTTAATGATTCACTGATAATTAGTCATGGGTGATGAGTGTAGATCCAATAGCTGATTCTTTCCTGAGACACAGTGGTTGTAACTCGCAGTGGAATCTGTGGCTGTGCTCTCTGTGGCCTCTGGAATTTCAGAAGGAGGGCATGTTTAAGCTTGTGTTCCTAAAATTTCCTTAGCCTGAGCCTCAGACAGGACAACCCCATCACCAGGTTTCTATTCTGGATCCTCATCAGTGTTAGTAGCTACACCAAGTCAAGACTTCTCCTTTTGTTTCTCTTTCTTAGATACTCAGTGGTCTTCCAGTTGAGGACAAGGGTCATTTTCCTGAGAAATTAGCTAAATGGGCGGCCAGGGAGCCCCAGGCTTCATCAGCATAAACGTTTAGACGCAGAGGGTTTCAGAGTTGTGGGAACCACTCTGAGCCCGCAGAGAATAGCCACCTGGTCTCCTTTGTCTTACAGCCTCATCCAGGTTTCAGAGCATATCTGTCTCCGTTTTTGAATCTCAAAACTGCCCTGTGATGTAGGTAGGGATTATTTTCCCCATTTAACAAGAAGTTCAGTCTTGGAGAGGTCAGGTGACTCTAGGTCAATGGCTAGTTAGTTGCAAACAGGAGCTGAGCCCCAGGTCACCACCCGGCTCAGCCAGTCCAGTGTGTGGTCATCCTTGGTCGCGCAGGCGTGGGTGTGTCCTTGTCCTTGGGGTTGGCCCTTATTGTTTGAGTCAAAACTTCATCACATTTCTAACTGACATCTGGATGCTCTGTCTCCCACGCTAATATGTATCCCTATCCTATGTCCCTATTATTTTCTGATAAAGATCAAAAAATATTTTTAGCTAGGCCGCATGGGCCCTGCTGAGAGCCCTGCTGGTGCAGCATCCTTGTGCAGCTTTCAGAGAACACACCCTCATCACCCACCTCTTCCTCAGCAGAACCCATCGGAGATGATAACTATGCTGCAGTTCCAGTTTGAGACAAAAACTAATGTTTCTAGTATGTAGAACAGCCCTCCTGGCTAATCCTCTCATGACTTTAATGTGCCAATGTAACTTCCTTAAAGGATCTATGCATTTATTGTATCTAGGAAACTATATATACACGGTAGGTGAAGAAGTCTCTTTTGTAACTCAATATTTTTTCCATTTCAAGTTTAAAGAATTACTTGACTAATTAGGCCTTCATTTGAAAAATAATGCTTTCGTCACTGCACAGGGTTACTTCCTTTATTTTATTCCCAAAGCTAATTAGCACAGGGTAATTACTCTGCTATGAAAATAAGCAATCTGAAAAATAAACTTGGCTTTTTGAATTGGGGGCAGAAAAATGAACCCAGTGTACTCAGATAGAAAATGTCTATAGACGCAGGAACAGGAGGTTCCTGGCATCTCTGGTTTGGATTTGCCTTTGCCAGCCAAGCATAATCGAGGGGAAGGTGTGCGGTGTCCTGAGAGCCTGGCCCTGGAGGAGGGCTCTGGATCAGCTGCAGTGAGACTGATGTTAAAGGCAGATCAGAATGGTCTCATTCCCATCCTTCCTGTAACCCACGGTCTCCCGACCTCCGTGTTCACCCGTGCGCGCCGACCTTGTGAGTTTTCCTCTGTTCATTACCTGTTGCTCCTCCCCTCGCCCCACCTATTACCGCTCGTTCTTGCTCCTCCAAATGGCGCCTAGTGGTAAAGACCCAGCCTGCCAATGCAGAAGACGTGAGTCACCAGTTCAATCCCTGGGTCAGGAAGATCCCCTGGAGAAGGAGATGGCAACCCACTCCAGTATTATTGCCTGGAGAATTCCCTATGGACAGAGGAGCCTGGCGGGCTACAGTCCATGGGCTTGCAAAGAGTCAGACACAACTGAAGTGACTGAGCACATTACTTTTCCTTGTCAATCTTTTGCTTTCACACACCCAAGCAGCTGAAAAGACTAACCCATCAGGAGCCAGATGGGCATGCCCATCCCTCCAGGGGGAGAGACCCCCTGCCGACCCCGACCAAAAGCCCCCCTCCTGGGTTTCCCAGGGTCTAGGTTCTAAGCAAAGAAACTACCCCACCTTTCCTTTTTAAAATTTTTTCTAAAGATTTTTTTGATGTGGACCATTTTTAAAGTCTTTATTTAGTTTGTTACAATATTGCTTCTATTTTATGTTTTGGATTTTTGACCAGGAGGTATGTTGGATCTTAGCTCCCTGACCAGGGATTGAACCTGCACCCCCTGCACTGGAAGGGCTTTGAAGTCCTAACCACTGGACCACCAGGGAAGTCCCCCTCTTCCTTTTTGGGGAGGATTTGCATGCCTTGTAGCATCAGTGGGCACTCAGCCCTCAGGAAACACCGGGCTACACACACAGGCTGGGAATCCAGGAAGAGTGTGGGCCTCCTGGCCTGATGCCCTCCTTTCCTCCTGGCATCTTCCCTCCCTGAGCTCTAGGGCCCCTCCCTGTCCTTAAGGTGGGGGTGGACAGAGGCAAGATGGACTGGGAGAGGGTCCATCCCCCCTCTCCTTCCCCAGCTGTGAAATGCGCTAGTGGAGTCAAGGTCTGGAACAAGACAGAGAAGCAGAGACTCTTCGGCTCAGGCTGGCACTGCCCAGTGAGCTCGTGGCCCCCCCATCCGCCCTGCCACTGAGTGGGTCCTTAGGGGTTGGGCTTGGCCTGTCTCTCAGCCTCACCTTTCCTTCCCTGGTGGGAAAAGATGGTTGTGCAGCATATATGACAGACTCTCAGCAAATGTTTGTTGCATAAACAAAGAACTTGCTGGTTAGGGTGAAAATCTTTGGGAGATTTGGGTGTTTTAAGGGCTTCCCTTGTGGCTCAGCTGGTAAAGAATCCGCCTGCAATGCGGGAGACCTGGGTCCCTCCGTTGGGAAGATCCCCTGGAGCAGGGAAAGGCTACCCACTCCAGTATTCTGGCCTGGAGAATTCCATGGACTGTATAGTCCATGGGGTTACAAAGAGTCGGACACGATTGAGCAACTTTCAGTTCACTTTCACTGTGTTTTATATGGGCTTCTCAGGTGGCGCTAGTGCTAAAGAACCCGCCTGCCAAATGCAGGAGACGTAAGAGACATGGGTTCGATCCCTGGGTTAGGAAGATCCCCTGGAGCAGGGCATGGCAACCCACTCCAGTATTCTTACCTGGAGAATCCCGTGGCAGGCTGCAGTCTATATTTCCGCGTCCCTCTAATGCCCTCTGAACATCATTTCTGTGTGAGTCTTCCTCCCCTTGGGGCAGTTAGCAGATGCATTCAGGATCCCTGAGATGGGTCAAGTCTCAGCAGCTTCGTCACCACATGGTGCTCATTCCAGACATTTTTGAAAATGCTCTCTGGGCAGCTCTTGAGTGGCAGGAAGAGCATCATCCCCCATTTATTCCTGGACCCAATGTGCTGCCTCTCGCCCCTGCCCTCTGTGTGGATTCACCCCAAGTGTCTGGGCACCCCTCCAGCTATGAGCCCTTTCTCTCTGCAGCTGGTCGCAGGAGCCCCTCAAGTGCAAAGATGCTCTCGGGACCTTCTGGAGGCATATAGAAGGGGCCTATCCTGTACTGTGTCAGTCATGTGGGTGGTAGAACAAGAGCACCTTGGCATAGGCCCACCCTCCAAGGCCAAGGACATGGGTGGGAGGCAGATTTTTTGTGACCTGGCTCTTGTGGAGCCCCTTCACCTTGCCACAGAGAACTGTTCTCCCAAGGGCACAGTCCATTTAGGATGTTGCATTTGCTTCTTAATAGGGAAAGCCAAATTGGGACACTAGCTTAGTATGCGCTTAATTCCAGACCTCATAGCTGATGGGTCAGTATCCAAAGTCACGTGCTGCGCGACCTCAAGGAAATGGTACCTGCATGAAATTGGGAGAAGAGGTGTTTTCTCCCATCTCGCCACCCAGGAGGAGCTGTTTCTTCCATTACAACAGGGAAGCCAGTTAGGTTGTATTAGAGCTTTGATTATTCTATGGGGTTTTAAAAAAAATTCTAACTTTTCACTTGACCATTAGTTCCCAGGTTCCTTTGGTCTTTGCTAAATCCTCATGCATTGCTGGGGGGCATGTTCATGTCATCTTTTACTTGCAGAAGCTTCCAGGCTTTCCATCACCTCTTATGGTGTTGGCATCCAGTTGTCAAGGTGGTGTATCCTCCACACACTTCATAACAGGGGCTGAGAACTTACCATCTTCTAATCTAGGAAAACGTCTGCTGCCCGGACACCCTGATACAGACCCAGGGTCATGGGAGGTGGCTCTGACAGTTAGAAACGCTCCCTGAACCCATGTGAAAGTCAAGCCCTTGCTGGTGTGGTGTCCACTGTTAGATTTATGGGTCTGGGATGGGCTGTTGCTTTATTCAAAGCCCTATGACACATGCAGGCCTATCCACACCTATTCCCTCCATTGCCAGAATTCAGTTGCTTTTTATGCAGCATGTTGGTTGGGACTTATCCACAGTAGCAGCCAATAAAGCCCTTAATCCTGGAGAAAGTGTGTACCCTCCCCATCCCACCACTGAAAAACGTAGTTTTTTAAACTATTGAAAGTATGCTCAGCTTTTGGTCTCTGGGTGTGTGGCTTGGTCTGGTCAACCTTTGTGCATAAAGCGGGGTCCCAGACAACAGAGCCCCACACCCCCACTCCAGAAAGTCCCAGACACCTGGGAGTATCCTGACGAACGTCAAGTCCCCTTTCAATAGGAGCGAGGCCTTTCTTCCCACTGAAAATGGCTGGGATGTGAGCGAGACAGCTCTGTTTTTCCAAATCAGATGTTCTGGTGGGTTTTTTCACTGGCCGCCAGGGCATCCCTGCTCTCACCTCCAGAGGTGCCCTTCTGAACCCATGGGACACTTCCTGGCACTTTCTCCACCTGCCTGGACCAAGAATATCTGGAGGGCCAGGGAGAGAACTGTGGCTAATCGTCTGTGGCCAAGTCTAAGGGAGCCTCCTCTGGGGGGCTGCTAGTCTGGGAGGCTGGGTGTCCAGTTCGGAGCACACGCTCCCTGGTAAGGTGCCTGCCCTCTGTGGGTGTCTCCTATCCAGCTGCTGCCAGCCCAGAGCAGTTGCTGGGTGTCTGAATACAAAGAGAGCTTTGATTACCTAGAGAGGAAACAGGGCTGCCAGCCAGATGGGGCCGGGCTCATGCACAGATGCAGGAGCTGCCAGAGGGTGGACAGGGAAGGCCTGACCCAGCCCAGGGCCCCACAGGGCCATGGGATCTTCCTGGGGCTCAGGTGTGACCTAACAAATAGCTGGTAGATAGAACTGGAGCTCTCATACCCAGAAGGAACCCCCCTTAGAAACAACCAAAACCCAAAACTTCTGAGGCTGTTACACATCACCAGAGTAAGACATTTCTGGCATGCTGCAATCTTTGTTCATCATCTTTAATGGGCAAAGCAGGAGCCATGAGCTGAAAAGTTGTAAATAATAAATATATTTATCCCACTATTTATTTTTTCAATAACTGTGACCTCCTGCACTGTGAATGCTCTGTGATATGAGATTCTTAGTTTAATAAAACTGTCATTAAATTTGAATGAATTGCTACTATTGATTTCTAAACACTGGCATGAGTTTTTTCTTATTGTGAAGACAAATCTAGAGTAAATACGAACTAAACCTTTATAAGACATCTAGCAGTCAGTATTGTAATGCAATCTATGAAAATCTGTACACTGTCAATAAAGTGAATGAACACAAGTTGTCTTTCCCTATAGAGAGCTTCCAGTCATGTTTTAATAGACACATACATATTTGTATTTTTGGAAAGAATTCTTTACACTGGAATAAAAGCCATTTATGGAAACCATTTCTATTTGCATATTAAGAAAAATAAACTTTGAAAAGGATGTGGGTTGGTGCTTTTTAATTATGATTGATAATAAAACGAAGCAGGAAACTCATAACTTACCTTGAAAAATGAAAGTGTTAGTCACTCAGTTATGTCAAACTTTTTACAACCCCATGACAATAGCCCACCAGGCTCTTCTGTCCATGGAATTCTCCAGGCAAGAATACTGGAGAGGGTAGCCATTCCTTTCTCCAGGGGATCTTCCCGACTCAGGGATTGACCCTGGGTCTCTTACATTGCAGACAGATTCTTTACCGTCTGAGCCACCCAGGAGGTCCACATAACTTACCTTAGCAAGGCACAAGTAAATCCAGAATGATCCGGCCTTCTCTTGTCTCATCAGTAAGGCCAGCTTTTATGGGCAGGGCACCCACGGGGTCAGCCATACAGGGCCTCACACTCAGAAAGCCCCCAGGGTCGGTTGTCACCATCTTGAAGTCTTAAATGATTATTTTAAGGGGACCTCACATTTTCTTTTTTTAAAATCATAGTTGTTCAATATATGTTATAGATGTACAATATAATTCACAATTTTTAAAGGTTATACTCCATTTTATACTTTTAAAATAATGTTTTAGTTCCCTGATTGTACAATACGTCCTTGTAGCACATGTTTTCATTTTGTCCTGGGCCCTAAAAACTATGAATCTGGTCCTGCTCATTAAGAACAAGGTTATGCTATACATAACAGAGAAGAGATTGCTATCCTTAGGCAAAGAACTCTTGCAAGCTAATAAGAAAATGGCAAAAACATTTCAACAGAAAAATGATAAAGAAAAAGCAATTCTCAAAAGAAGCAGCATAAATGGCTAATTAACAGAGGAAATTCAATCTCACTGACCACAGCAGGGAATACATATTAAATACAGTAAAATATGCAGGGACATAGGTCTACAAGGCTTGAAACAAAGAAGTCGGGAGCCGGGTCTTCAATGTGCTCCCCTGATGGCTCAGATGGTAAAGAATCTGCCTGCAATGGGTCTTCAAACCTATGAATGCAAAACTGAATGTGAATGTGAGTATCTTTTAGAATGAGAAAAGGAATCACAACAAATTACATGTTTTTAAAAGAAAGTCTCACAAATGTAAAAAAGCCAGTAAAAATACAATAGCATTTTTATTAATCATCTAACACTCCTTGATAATATTTTTTCTACATTTTCTGGCTGTGTATTTTTCATCATCTCTTCATTTGACAGTGATTTTGTGTTCCCATTTCCTATGAGGATAGAAATATAATTCAGTATTTATCCTGGCATGGTTGACTGAAAGGTTTATTTCCAGTTGGAATGAATAAAGTGGATAACTTCACACAGATTTACTTGCTAAAAATTTTTAGAAAAGAATGTTATGCCATCAGCTGTTGTGTCATGAGAAATTGCAATGGGGGGAGAGGTTCTGGTTAATTGCTTCATTTGAAATGTTTCCTGAGTCCCAGCTGTCTCAGTGCCACCATAAACCTTAACATGCATGTGAATCACGTGGGTGTCTTGTTAAAAAGCAGATTCTGATTCAGCAAGATCAGATGGGGCCAAAGATGCTATATTTCCAGCAAGTTCCCAGGTGTTGGCAGTGCTGCTCGTCCATGCAGAATAGTGAGAAGATGGATCAATACCAGGGCTTCCCAGGTAGTGCTAGTGGTAAAGAATCCACCTGCCAATGCAAGGGATGCAGGTATGATCCTTGGGTCGGGAAGATCCCCTGAAGGTGGTAACTCACTCCAATATTCTTGCCTAGAAAATCCCATGGACAGACGAGCCTAGAAGGCTACAGTCCATGGGGTCACAAAGAGTCAGACACGACTGAGCACAAATGGATTAGTCCCACTCAGAGTGTGAGCTGGGCATCTGTGTAGCCTCTCAGACTGTTGTCCATCTGCCACAAGACAAGCACAGAAACTGAGAGTATAAACATTTATGGCAATATGATGAGTAATTTATGTCTGAACATGTTTTTTTCATTGCATTTTTCTAGCAACTTTTGTTGTACTCATGGAAACATCTGTCCACATGAATTAAAAAAATTTAAATGTTTTTAAAAAGTCTTCCCCATAGGTTCTACTTCAGATGAGAAGTTATACTTCAGATGAATATTTAGACGGGTTTGACCCTTTTCTGTGTAAAAGTCAATCCACAAGGTATGAAGGCCTTTGACTTGGTAATTCCAGTTCAATCAGCTCTGAGGATCCTGCAGCCTCAAGTTCTTAATTCTCAGAAGCTCATTGTCCCTCAGTCCATCTGGCGCTGCATGGCTTACAAAAACCAGTGGAATACAGGAGGGTAACAGAAAATATCTCCATTTCACAGATGTAGGAGATGAGGTTCAGAGAGCATGTGTGCTGTGTGCAGGGTCTCTCGTCCACTCACCATGAGAGCCAGCCTGAAGAGCCAGGCCTGGGACTGCCCAGACCAGAGAAAGGAGAGAGTGGTTGGTGGAATCTTGGAGCTCATCTCCTAGTTGATTTCACAACTCAGGCTCTATCAGCTTGTTTTTGATGTTTTCTAAAACTTGCTCCAGGCACTTCCAAGTTCACTGCGGTGCTGGTGCAGGCAGTCCGATGGTTCCCTGGTGCGAAAAGCAGGTCTTCTCCTGGGCTTTTGTTTTGCCCATTCCCTGGTGACTTAGACAGTAAAGAATCTGCCTGCAATGTGGGAGATTCAGATTCCATCCCTGGGTGAGAAAGATTCCCTGGAGAAGGGAACCCACTCCAGTATTCTTGCCTGGAGAATTCCATGGACAAAGGAACCTGGCAGGCTGCAGTCCATGGGGTCACAGAGAGTTAGACACAACTGAACAACTTGCACTTTTCACTTTGCTAGCTGGTGTCCTCCAGCCAGAGCCAAGGGCAGGAGTAGATTCTGACCCCTGCCCATCCCCACCAATGAGCTCTCTACTGAGATTCAGCCTACACCCACGGCCTTTGAGGTCTCCCGTCCCACTCTCTGCCCTGAATGCGTCTTCAGACCATGCTACCCCTATGCTCTGGTTCCTCTCAGTCACTCTACAGGTTTTAATACTGCAGATTACGTCCTTTCTAATAAACAGATTCACTCTGGTTCTCCACTTCTTTATATCTCCCTCTCTTCTCCTGGCATCTCCTCCACCTGCTCCTTAAATGAAAGTGTTTACCTGCATTCCACCTGGAGTGTTTCTTCTACTTGGTGGCTCTCAATCCTGGCTGACCATTGGAGTCATCCTGGGAGCTTTAAAACACAGGACTGTCCAATCAAGCTGGCCTGGGCATTAGGGTTTTAAAAGATCCTGTGCTGTGCTTAGTCGCTCAGGCATGTCCAACTCTTTGTGACCTCATGGACTGTAGCCCGCCAGGCTCCTCTGTCCATAGGATTCTCCAGGCAAGAATACTGGAGTGGGTTGTCATTCCCTTCTCCAGGGGATCTTCCCAACCCAGGGATCAAAATTCAGGTCTCCTGCATTTCACGCAGATTCTTTATCATCTGAGCCACCAGAGAAGCCCCTAATTTGCAGATAAAAATTTTAGGTAATTGTAATGTGCAACCAAGATTCCATTGATCCAACTCAACCTTCTGAGACACAGCAATGATTAATAGCTTCACTGCTGTCCCTCAAGATAGATACTGCCAGCCACAAGTTTCTCTGTCCCTCCAGACCCCCTCACAGACACTTTTCACCTCCTGATGTACTATTTAGCTTCCCAAGTCCCTCACAGTCAGTATGATCAAAAATAATCCAATTTTTAAAAACTTTATTTTTGACTGTGCTAGGTCTTCATGGTTGCACATGGGCTTTCTCTAGTTGCAGTCAGCTAGGGCTGCTCTTCATTGCAGTGCACAGGCTTCTCACTGTGGTGGGTTTTCTTGTTACGGAGCACGGGCTCTAGGCACATGGGCTTCAGTAGTTACAGCTCTTAGCCTCTAGACCACTGGCTCAGTAGTTGTGGCCACAGGCTTAGTTGCTCTCCAGCTCTTCCTGGACCAGGGATCAAGCCCATGTCCCATGCAATGGCAGGTGGATCCATCACCACTGGACCACTAAGGAAGTCCAAAAATAATCCAGGTTTTTAAAGAGATAAATGTGCATAATTTTTTCATAATAGCCCCAAACTTGAAATAGCTCAAATATCCATCAGCAGGTGGATAGAGTAAAAGAGAATATTTAATAACTTATAGAGATATTGAGGTTATCAATAGGGGGAAAAATCTTAAATATTGAACTCCAGGTAGTGATATCCTGGCTCAAGTGTTTAGGGGTGAAGGATACTGATGTCTGCAACTTATTAAGATACCTGGGTGGGTCATTGACAGACACATGATACAGCGAGTTTGGTAATGTTAGTGGTAGATTGTAGATGGTGGGTGTATGAATGTTCACAGTACAGGGTGTTTTTTTCTGTATGTTTAAAAGCTTTCATAATAAAAAGTTGGGGAAAATCGCCAAACTCTCCTCCCACCCCCAATCACCTTTTGCTCTTTCCCAATGCCTCACCAGTCACCAGTAAAATGTCAACTCCTCCCACTGCCCCTAATGCTATCTTCTTGTTTTCTCCCTTGCGGTCATTTTTGCAACTTCTCACTCCCTTTCTGCTCCAGCCTTCAGGGCCCCACTGGCACTGTTTATATGATCCAGGGCAGAGACTCTGAACTGGTCTCCCTGCCTCCACCCTCATTCCCTTCCCAGTCTAGCCTCCATTGAGCAACTAGAGGGACTCTAGTGCAGAAATCTGATTCATCTGTCTTCTAGAACTTAGAAGCATTTTGTTGCTGTTCAGTCGCTAAGTCATGTCCAACTCTTTGTGACCCAATGGACTGCAGCATCCTAGGCTTCCCTGTCTTTCAAAATCTCCCAGAGTCTGCTCAAATTCAAGTCCATTGTATCGAAGATGCCATCCAACCATCTGGTCTTCTGTTATCCTCTTCTCCTCCTGCCCTCAGTCTTTTCCAGCATCAGGGTCTTTTCCAATGAATCAGATCTTCTCATCAGTTCAGTTCAGTCACTCAGTCGTGTCCAACTCTTTGTGACCCCATGAACTGCAGCCCACCAGGCTTCCCTGTCCATCACCAACTCCTGGAGCTTACTCAAACTCATGTCCATCAAGTCGGTGATACCATCCAACCATCTCATCCTCTGTCGTCCCCTTCTCCTCCAGCCGTCAATCTTTCCCAGCATCAGGGTCTTTTCCAATGAGTCAGTTCGCATCAGGTGGCCAAAGTATTGGAGCTTCAACTTCAGCATCAGTTCTTCCAATGAATATTCAGGGTTGATTTCCTTTAGGATTGATTGGTTTGATCTCCTTTCAGTCCAAGGTACTCTCAAGAGTCTTCTCCAGCTCCATAATTCAAAAGCATCGATTCTTCAGTGCTCAGCCTTCTTTATGGTTCAGCTCTCACATCCGTACATGACTACTGGAAAAACCATGGCTCCCAGTTACCTCAGACCTGCCATAACCTTAACACGTTATCTTCCTCTTTCCTGCATGACTCTGCCTAGCCTCAGACACTCTACTATTTCCTCTGCTTGAAATGGTTTCCCCACCCCATGTCCTGCAGAGGAGGGCCCACACTTCTTCTTTCAAGGCCTACCTAGGCCTCCAGGCCAGAATGAATCACTTGCTTCTGTTTGTTTTTTAATTTTTTTTTTAGAGAGAGCTTGGAAACAGGCTATTTTTTCTTTTGACCATATCCCATGGCATGTGGGATCTTAGTTCTCCCACCAAGGATCAAACGCTCTCCTGCAGTGGAAGCGCAGAGTCTTAACCACTGGACGGCTAGGGAAGTCCTCTGTTTTGTTTTTAATTATCTTTTTTTTTTTATCTGTAAGCTTGCTTCAGTTATTGATACTTTTTGACAATTATACATTTCGAATTTTCTAGAACAGTCTCATATACTTGCCCACAGCCTCCACCAACTATTGAAGGTCACCAATTTTGGGGTTTCTGTACTACCCATCTTTTAGACCAACCCTTAAAGCTAGAAAGAGCACAGAGTTTTTGGTCACTCCCTGATTTAGTCAGTAAACATGTATTGAAGGCCTGCTCTGCAGCAAGCCAACTGCTGGTTGGAGAGATGGGAGGCCTACTGCCTGTCACTTCAAGGGACCCCCATGTTCTGGGAGGGAGTGAGCCCAGGAGGCAAGAGCACAGAGAAGCCCAGTCATCCTCGCAGTCAGGGAGATGTTGACTCAAGCTGAGCCTTCAGGGATAAAGACAGTCAGAAATCAGGTTGGGAAATATCATACCCACACATGAGCCACACAGAAGGGGACACATTCTAATCATAGCAAGCATTTCATGGTTTAAAAAGAGTCAATGAATAACCAGTAGAAAGTATGACAGAGATGTTCAAATATTTTGTGGATGAAAACAATGTTGTCTGCCATTTCAGTAAACCACGAATGTTGCCCACACCAATCCAGCCAGCCCAGTGCTGCGCCAGAAGGGGAATTCAGGATAGAGAAAAACAGGAATACTGGCCCCAGGTAGTTAAGATGCATATCAAAGGAGTAATTTCAATGAGCCCAGATTCTGGCATCTTCTGATATGTCAGAAAGCATTAAAATCATTAACTTGAGTTTGTGTGTGTGTGTGTGAGAGAGAGAGAGAGAGAGATTAATTAGCAGTAATCATCCGATGTTCAGCTAGATGGGTTTTTTGGGTTTGTTTTCAGCAAACATTTCTATACATTCTGATTCCTCTCTTACCACGTTGGAACCGTCCTCAGAGCAACCTAAGACTGGTTTTCTGGCTACAGTCCTCAGTGCTGCGCTGTGCTTAGTCGCTCAGTCGTGTCGGACTCTTTGCGACCCCGTGGACTGCAGCCCGCCAGGCTCCTCCGTCCATGGGATTCTCCAGGCAAGAGTACTGGAGGAGAAGATTCCCTTCTCCAGGGGCTCTTTCCCACCCAGGAATCGAACTCGGGTCTCCTGCATTGCAGGCAGATTCCTTACTGTCTGAGCCGCCAGGGAAGCCCCATAGTCCTCAGTGAGTTCCCCAAATAAGACGTAACTCAACTTGTAGATATCGTTTATTCTTTCAGTCAACACTATCTCATATCGTACACAAAAATCAACTCAAAATGGAGTGTAAGACCTGAAACCATAAAACTCCTAGAAGGAAGTAAGCAGTATGCTCTGTGACATTAGTTTTAGCAGAATCATTCTACATATGTCTCTTCAGGCAAGGGAAACAAAAGCAACACTAAAGAAGAACACTGTGTATGGGTTCGCTCAGTCATGTCCAACTCTTTGCTGCCCCGTGAACTGTAGCCTGCTAGGCTCCTCTGTCCATGGAATTTTCCAGGCAAGAATACTAGAGTGGGTTGCCATTTCCTTCTCCAGGGGATCTTCTCAACCCAGGGAACACACCCACATCTCTTGTGTCTCCTGCCTTGGCAGATGGATTCTTTAGCAATGTGCCATCTGGGCGCCTCAAGCAAAAAGGACTACATCAAGCTAAAAAGTTTTTGCATACCAAAGGAGACCATCAATAAAATGAAAAGGCAACCTTCCAAATGCGAGAAGACATTTGCAAATCTTGTATCCAATAAGGGATTAATATCCAAAATATATAAAGAATTTAGCAACTCAGCAGCAAAAAACCTATATTTTAATAGGACAGAAGACCCAAGTAGACATGTTTCCAAGGAAGACATACAGAGAGCCAGCAGGCACATGAAAAAATGTTCAATCACTATCAGAAATACAATCAAAACCACAATAAGATAACACCTCACACCTGTTAGAGTGGCTATTACCAAAAAGGCAAGAAATAATAGGTATTGGCAAGGATGTGGAGAAAAGGGAACCCTCATATACTATTGGTAAGAATAAAAATTGGTGCAGTCACTATGGAAAACGGTATGGAGGCTTCTCAAAAAATTAAGACTAGAACTACCATATTAAACCCAACTATCCCATGTCTGGGTATTTATTCAAAGAATACAAAGACACTAATTCAAAAAGATGTCTATGGACTTCCCTGGTGGTCCAGTGGTTAATGATCTGCCTGGCAATGCGTGGAATGTTGGTTCGATCCCTGGTCCGGGAAGCTTCCACCTGCTGCTAGGCAACAAAGCCTGTGTACCACAGCTACTGAAGTTCACATGCTCTAGAGCCTGAGGGCTGCCAACTACCGAAGTTTCAGTGCCTACAGCCAGTGCTGCACAACAGAAGCCTCCACAATGAGAAGTCCCTGCCCCACAACTAGAGTGGCCTCTGCTTGCCCAAACTAGAGAAAGCCCATGCACGCCAACC